TTAACTTATTTTAGCCTCAACTGTATTAAAAATTAACCCCATGAAATTCTTACCCCTGATATCTGTCCCTTTTCTTCCTCACGCGTAGCACTACCATGCAGGATGCCCCTGCCTTCCTCATGCCTTTGGAGGGCTACCTTTCTTGGAAGGAAATGGGCTTTGAGCAAAGCTTGCTCTGTGCTAGGGCAAATCTAGGACTTGGCACAATTGGAAGAGCCTAAAGGACATTTCTGGGCTTGCTGTAAAGCAAATATGGGTCCCAGCAAAGCAGTGAGGACATTGTTCTTTCAGTTGTCTGAGTTAATAATATTTAATTGAGTAACTTCCTTCCTAACTTAAAAGCCTGTGGAGTTTGCATGCTTATCTATATCTTACTTACTGAATGTCAGTAAGGTCACTGCTGTCCCAGAAATCATTGTGTCAGAATTGGATACAGCACAGGACGAGGGCAGGGATGGTCAGTGCAGTGCAGCTTTGCTACAAAGAGAGGCTAAACAGCCCTGAGGTCTGAATGGAGAGACTGATGCAGAATGGCATGAAGAGCAGTGAAGTGATGGTGGTGAGGGAAAATAAGAAGGGAGAACAGTTTGCTCAGGGTCTTCACAAAGCAGTGAACAACTGATATTAAATCAGCAAAGAAAATAATGGTTCATGACTGTGTAGTTATACTGTGGTGGTGTTTACAGCAGACTGCTTCAGAGGCCACAAGAATTAATAAATTGAGGAGATTGTGGAATTAGCCTTGTTTATGGCTGCTAAAAAGATTATGGTGTGAGTGCAGGCTTTGCATCAGGACATGCTTAAACCACAGAGCTGGAAGAATGTACAGGGGAAAAGGTTTCCTATTCATTCCACAAACATAGTTAAGATGCATCTGAAGGAAAGATACTGGATGAATAAACCCTTAGTCTGACCTAACACAACTGTTCTGATGTTAATGAATTTGGGAGACTAACTGGAAGATTGGAAGGTGCAGCTTGTACTTCCTTCCTTGTATCTCATTTTTTCCATAATTAGGACCAATGGTAACAACATGGATTTAGCCACAGTGGTCAAGTATGAGGTCACTTTTACCTAAGAGCAATCTGTAGTACCTCAAACCCCAGTTTAATTGTCCAGAACCCTGTAAGAATTAAAATTGAACAGGAAAAGGCTTTTCCACTAAAAACTGAGCAGCTCACTACTGTGTTACCCTGCAGGACATCTCAAACTTCAACAGTTGCCAACAGCATCAGCCGAAGAATGATCTCTCCTTGCTGACACTCCACTTTCATACACAATTTATGGTTCTTAATGTTAATATATGGCCATAAACAGATGCTGCTTTTCTTCTTGCATGTGATAATGAAGCTTTTGACAAAGCCAGGAGTACCTGATGAGAAGGAAAGGAAGCAGAAGTGTAAGGGTCACCTCACCACAGGGAGACTTTGGTGAATTAATCACCTGCACAGTGGGTGACATAATGGGGCTCAGATGCTGTCCTTAACCTCCCACCCTTTCCTTCCAACTTTCCACTAATGCCTCACAAAGTGGGAAACAGAGAAACTATCCATGCCATTTAGTCCAGACAAATTCCAGATATCTGCTTTCTCACTGTTATTCCAATTAATAATCTTTCAGGGTAGAAACAATTGAGAAACAACCACAGCAGACATGGCCAGACATCTAGATCCTCTCTGGGAGAGGCTGGGGGCTGCCACAGCTTGGAGGAGGGTGCCTGGTGGAGCATCGTCAGCACTGGCAGCCAGCCCACAGCAAGTCCTTCTCCAGCAAGTCCTCCTGGTACACCTTCCTCCAGGCTCTGCTTTGCCACCATCCCCAACAAATAAACAGCTCTTTGCAGCCCAAAAAGCCCACACTCACCCCCCACAGACTCATGCACGCTGGACTCTGCTCCCTGCTGTTGTTTCCTACATGGAAGAGGCTAAAAATCCCTCCGCCAGTGCCACGTTTTTCCAGGGAAAGTGCCTGTTGCGATTGTGTATGCGCACAAGGGAGGTTTCCAAGCTTGAGCAATCCATCTGGCAGCAGCACTCCCGCTATAAGATCCTTCCCGCAGCACAGGACCAGAGCTGATTTAATTGCATTAGTCACCACCAGCAGCACCGCTGATCTTGGACCCAGAGTGCTGGCTGGCCCGCAAGCCTCATGATTATTTTAACTTTGTTTGCTTGACCTTTCCAGTGGTCCAGACCCCTCGAGGAGCTGAAGAATGCTTCATTCCCCGCTGCTGCCTGTGAAACTCAGGGCGGCCAGGGCCAAGTGTTAGGCTAAATATCAGAATGCACAGGCTGAGTAATGGTTCGTCTTCACGAGGGGAAAATTTGCCTCTTACTGACTGACTTTAAAGAAACCAGTTTTAGCATAGTGATTGAATTTGATGGGAAAGAAGGAAAAGGAGCTGGCTAATGTTTATTGTTCTGAGGATCATTAAACATTTCTTTATTTTGTTTATTGGCTGTGAGATTTCTTTATAGGCAAATAAATTCACAGATCTGCAGAACAGAACCAAACCCTGACATTTAGAGCCAGATTCAAGTTTTTCCAAAGTTTGTGAGTTTTCAATTCATGTTATCCACTGATTTAAGCAGGATATAAGGAAAGAAGATGAAAAAGTTGTATCCTGGGAGAAAACTTTGAAAGTCCAGCAGGTAGCAGTCTCTTTCAGGTAGATCTTTCAAAGATACATATTGTGTATCTAATATGTTATTTGCTGTGATTCCTAACACTGTAGACAAGGCATTGCACAATTTTAAGTAAGTCTCCAAAAAGTACTTCTAAAAAGCTGTTTACTGCCAGACCATTATTTTTTTAACCTCTTAAGCCAAACTCTCTCATTCTGCACAGCATCTGGGGAGGAAATTATTGCTCAAACTGCCAATGTCAAGACAGATGCCAGACAAACTTAGCTGCGTAGCAGTGATTTCTCATTCATTGCTGTCTGAACCAGCACACTCATCCTGGAGTCCTGTGCTCCTCAACTTCCAAGAGAGCACTTGTCAGAGCTAAGCTGACACAAGAATTTGTACATGAGGAGCCGTAACACAACTTGCTTTAATTTGGGAAGGTTTACTCCTCTCATCAAGTGGGTTACTGCCACATGGCAGGTTCAAAATTAAGGCAAAACTAGAAGAAATTCACACCAAATGATCTATAGAACTGTGATACTAACACATAAGTCATATAGTAATAGGTATAAAATATATGAAATTTATTAAATTATACCTGAGATTATGCAACTCCATACCCTGGAGATTTTGAAAGACCACCAGAAAACCCCTAAATCTGATAGCCCAAAACAGGTGACTACAAGAATCAGATCTCTGTTTAAATATCTTTTTCTCACAATATCTTGGTAAATTCTGACAATTTATTATTTTTAAAAGATCCCACACCGCTGAGTTTGAGGATGACAATGATGATCTAAATGTGCTAGTGGGATATTTGTTCTTACTTCAACAATGAGCTTGTAGGCTGATGCTTCCGAAGTAGGATTAGTTACCCCTTGGGTTAAGGCTGCTCGTAGCTGGAGACACTTTACTGTTTGAAACTTCCTGATTGACACTTCTAGGGATTCTGTAAATAGCCAGGGAGGAAAACATGTGTGCTCAGATAAAAGACATTTGTGGATTTGCTGTTGGAGATGTGCAGTTCCCAGAGCAGCATCACTAAGTGAACCAGAGGAGATGGCTGTGAACATGATGCCTGCAGTCACACAGGGAGTGAGAGGGACAAACAGAGTGTCACATGCAGACCCTGGTTCTGGAGGTCAGTTACTCTGGCAGACTATCCAGTGGAATTTTTTTAAAGGAAGAAAGATAACATTTAAATTCCTCTAGATTTCTTTTCACTCATTTTACTCTAACCAGGGAGTCAGGGCAAGCAGCTGTGTTTTCAAAATTCACTTTTTTATAGTGTGAAATTGCTTCACAGTCTTAGGGGAGGGGAAGGTGCTGAGGTTAGGTTTTAGCAGAAAGGTAACTTTTCAGACTTCTTTTAGCTAACTAAAACATGATAACCTTTCTTCCTGTACTGCCACATAAAAATATATGGTATGGCTCTGTCCCAGCTTCTGAGGTTAAGAGCTCCAACTCCAGCTCCACTCTGAAATGTTACTCTGTAAAAAAAAATATCCATATTTATTGGTTATAAGTCACTCAAACCTCAGAGCTGCTCACTTAAAAAAATATGTTTTTTCTAGCTGCTGGTGCTTAAACTGCACCTGACTCACAAATGATCTCTCACAGACTTTGGCTGTACCTTCACAGTGCCTGTGAGGTATCTCAGTGGGACAGGATTATGGATGAGGCAGTCGGTGCCAGGAGGAACACAGCCTGTCTTTCACAACCCTGAGAGGGTCTGCAGGGCTAGCAGTACTATAAAACAGCTTTTTTTAGACATGAGCTGAATGCATTCAATCTGCTGGTCAGCTGAAACATTCTGGAATTCACGTGAGGTTCTAAATACCCCAAGAGCAGAGGTGAGTGGTGGTACATGATCATCAGGTAGTTAATGGAAAAGGTCACTATTCTCCCTTTAACAAGCTGGGCCACCTCTCTCACAGCACCTCTGGTTTTCTCTCCAATGTGCCTCTCAGCAGAGACAGTGCAGTTACATTACATGAATGACAAAGTCCTGCTGGAGGGAAGAAACATCTCCACGAGTAGGTAATTTATGTAACACTATTTACTTTTTTAAAATGTGGTTTCATGACCTTATAATGGGAAGTCATCTCAGAAGACAGATCTCTTACAGCTTTCTAGTGCACCAGGGAAAGGCAAGGACACTCCCAATGAAGGAGCTGAGCCTGTGGCCACAGCCATAAGGAGGTTGTGCTATCCATGGTGCCACCAGCCTGACCCTAATGCCACCAACCACCAGGCCTATCTGCAGGAAATGCTTGGGCCCTGCTGCAGGAGAGGCTGGGAGACACTAAAATATACATGGGGAATACCAAGCCATGCTGGGTGCAGAGGGGAGCATGGAGCAGCAAGAGCAAAAGCTGAAGCAGGTTCCAGGAGCCAAGCTGAGAACACAAGCACAGCAGCACCTGTAGCTGGGCTGGGCTCAATTAAAAATGAAAAAAAAAAAGGAAAAAAAAAAGGGCGGAGATGGTTCGTGTGATAAGTGCTAATTAGCTCTTCTTTGTAGGGAGTTTGGGGTTTGGTCAGAGGCAAGCAGGGAGATTGGAGATTGCTGAACTGGTTTTGCTGAGGTAAGCTCTGTGCTGATGTTAAGGTACTGTACAGTGGGGTCTGTACTCTGGGGAGGGTGAGAGGTTTTTAAGGTTTTTTAGCTTTAGTTATAAACTTTTGTTATAGTTTAACTCTTTCTGTTTGCCCAAGCATTGGTGGAAGTCTCTTAGTCTGTTTTCCTTTTCAATGTGTTGTATTTCTTTTTTGTTATTTTTTGAATAACTTCTTTTTCTTGTCTATGGTCTCTCCTACAACGTTTTACCTTTCAGATCTGCTTTGTCCCTTCAGGAACATGGTAATTTTTCTCTGTCATATATGGATGTGTGACTTCGCCTAAAATTAATAATAGCCTTCAGTGCTTTGCCACAGAAAGTAATTTTCCTTGCATTGCAAACCTTGATAATTGTTCTATTCTGAACTATTTTGATTTGTGCTCTCACTTAGCAGGTGAATAAGAACCTATTTTGCTGAATAACTGCCCCACTATTTTCAAGCAGTCCACTTCAGAGAGGAAAAAATTTGGCAGCTGCTTAATTTATTAAATCAATGCCAGTGCAATTATGCTTTTAAATGGGTGAAGTCTTTTGTTGAAGGGAGCTATATCTGCCTCATATAGACCATCAAAGTCATCTCAAATTGTTTTAAGTGCCAAAACCACAGTAAAGAATTACTAGGTGACTACTAAATGCATTGTCGTCTTTAAGCTATGAAAACTAAACAACCCCTACCTTTTAGGAAGGAAGATATCATTTATCAACCGCTATATCTTTAGTATGTAAAAGTTTAAGATGGTCTCTGGTTCTGTAAGCATGTGTTTTGCACAATGCTGAAACAGGAAGGAGTTATTTTAGTTTTACTTAGAGTTAAGAGGCATCTGAACCTTTCTCATAGGTCCTAGGAATACAGATATCTGTATATTGTTTCAAAATCACTTAAATATCAGTAACAGGGTTATGTTTACAACAACAAAATTCATTTTGGAAGTTGTAGTAGAAGGCAAGAGGATATAAGTAGGTTATTTCACAGCACTAAGGAAAAGCCAATGCCTTCTAATTAAGGATAAAGTGTGTGGCTGTGAGGTGTGTGGGACCAGCTTCCCATTTAACCTCACCAGTGCCACAAAGAGAAGAGGTTGAGTTCCTACCAGCTGGTGCTGGCCCTGTGTGCTGTGGAAATTAGAGGAAGGCTTTTTCAAAAGAGGGGGGAAATGAATGTCACAAGATGGATGAAGACTACACTCCTTGTTAGTTTGTTTTATTACTGTCATAGCTCTAGGGAACACAAGACCATTGACTTCAGCCTGACCCGAGCTATTGGTGGCTGTAATTTCTACCATCCCTTACTTTAGGAAGATTTACCAGAGCATCATTTCTCGAAGTGACAGCTCTTGTAAACAGATGATGATGGATTACCTGTGGGAATTACTTCTCCTATATGTAGTGCTGTTGCAGGGTAATAACTGCCAGGTAGCTGGCAGCTGCAGAAATCTAGTGAGAGCAGAGGGACTAAAGAAGCTTAACCTTAATTCCACTCTTCATGCCCTGCAACAGCTTGACTTTTGGCAGACAGCTGTGGGACTAGTATAGAAAACATGCTGTTTGCACTGCCCATACAGTCCAACATCTGCTGAAACAAGAGGCTGGAATGTAAGGAGAAGAAAAGGGAGACAACTGGAGCTTTCTCCCCCACACAGAGGTATCAGCACTGCACGCTCACTCTGTTCCCTTCTGCAGCACTGACTGTATCTCTAAAGCTCTCCAGCAAATCCACTCATCCAATGCCATCTGCATTTACCATTTCACAAAAATATAATTCAAGATCTGATTAAAACCAGAACATGCTGCTTGTCAAGATCCAGTCTAGGATATCAAAGGACCAAGCTGGTAGAGCCAGAATGCTGTCTGGAGATGGGTACAGGTTTTTGGGGATGGAGCTGCAACCAGTTTCAACTTCTGCCAGCACTCACAGATGCTCTCCCCACTAACAGGCAGTCCTTGCTTGTGCTGCCAACCACCTGGCTAGACAACACCTCAGCTGCTCCACTGACACCCCTTCATGTAGCACCACACACCCCCATCCTGCCTGCCAGCCTTCTTGGGATATGCTCAACAGCTTGAGTGTTGAGAACATACCATAAGTTTTAAGAAGAGAGTTCTTTAAAAATAGAAAGCAGGTGTCTTTACTTCCCCCCACCCCCTCAAGTCCCTCTGCTAAATAAGCATGTTGAGTAAAGAATGGTACTTGAGTAAAGATGCTCTCTTCTCCCCTTGCTTTCAACTCTAACAGATATCTTTAGAATCCAGTCTGGTAAAAAAAAAGCCAAAAGTAGCAAAGGTTTCTTTCCCACCTCACAAAAGAGCAGTCTTCTGATGGCAACCCACAAGGTCACACATTTGTTGCTTATCATCATATTTAATGGACCTAAGGACATTTGAAGGACCTCTTTTTATGAAATGCAGAACAGACATAGTGAGTTTTCTGTATCAATCACTGAGGATTTGAGACACACCTACAGTAAGTCAACAAACAACAGCTTTTGTTTAGTTAACTCCATGGAAGAGTAATTCATTAATCTTCTGTATTGTGGGGAAAAACCTGCTTTCATTGGACTACAGAAGGCATGCAACATTCTTCTAGTATTAAGTTATAAAACATGCATATCTTGGCTTGGAGTTTGTTGAATCTTACCACAGGACTCATGCTTGGCAGTGTTTTGAGGTTGAGGTCTGTTCTCCTTTTTTTAGGTGGACACATTAGTAAAAACGGGCCTAACATCAGGGAGACAGACTATGGTAATGTCTAGGAGCTGGTGGGTCTCTGTGTGAATAACTGGGTCTTTTCTCATGCAATTCATGGCCCTCTCCTTCTACCAGGGCCTGACAGAAGATTTGAGAGGCCATGTTTATGCACCATCATGTACGTGTGCTATGTCTGTGATTTCTGAACACAGCTACCTCTACCCTATCCCAAGAAAGACCGGTGTGATGAAAAACACGGAACACAGTGCACAGCAGGAATGCAGGAGTCTTGTTTGGGATATGGGTGATGCTGAAGTGTGAGTGAGGACCATACAAGTGTGCACACTGGTGCTTAGCCTGGCTCTGTGGCTGAGGTGCAGAGCTGCTCAGGTTGCTGTGACATCCCCGCAGAGCTCTCCTGCTGCAGCACTCCGCATCCTACCTTGACACAGGCTCCAGAGAGTCACACCATGCTCTGCAGAGCTGGACAGCTAAGCAGAGCGCAGCAAAGGTGTCCAGTGACAGAGCACTGGGTGTAGGAGCTCCTGGCTGGGTTCTGACCTGAGCTGCTGGGCTGTCTCTGTGTCATGCTCCCAAGTTTCTGCTGTCTGGTAATGTTTTAGCCCAGGACTCCTGCCTAGAGCCTCTCCAATGCTGGGCAGTGGGGCAGTTGAAGGGAATGATCCCACCCATAATTTAAATACGCAAACCCACAGGAATTCCATCATAAGGGTGTTGTCTGCTGCAACTTCTTCTAGAAGTACTGAACTGTCTGTTATGATCATACTGACTTTTCTTCTTGATACCAGACTCAAGCTCTTTGGGATTTTATGAATTTTTTAATATATAGCTCAACATACATATATACTAAATGGTGTTGTCATGACCCATTTTCTGTAATGCTTCTAGTTGTGTGCTGGATATAAGAGTTTTAGGAACCTTGTTCACAAGTTAATGACAAATCCAAGAGACCACATAGTGCAGCACACTAAGCAAGATTTCATCTGTGACCTGTGTCATGTGGTGTCCCCAAGCTCCTGAGGCTACATGGGAAGACTGAAATGCCAGACATTATATTTTCAGATAGGTCAAGATGGACACTTGCAAACATCTTTCTTGACTCCTGTTCTACATTGTAAATGCTACAAGAGTTCCCTAAGGAATCCCACAAATAGAACATTAGCTAGTGGCCACTCCTCCCTTCCCCTTACATTAATAAGTGTGAAAGAAGAGGTGCAGAGACAGACTCCAAAAACACATTAGGATCTCCTGAGAGAAGGTCCTGCATGAACCTTCTCTGATATGTTGTTTATTAAATGTGGTCTGGAGAAATCTGCAGAGTATGTTTCTTTTCTATCAAATCATGCTGCATACCACAGAGGTTTCAGAGTTTTGTACATGGCACAGGAATAAAGCCAGATTCAGGAGGCATTCAGCAAAACCAACACAAAACTTGATTGTTGGATTTATTTTCCCTCATTGAAAAAGCAGATAAGGGTTCAGGATATCTAGTCTAGCAGCATGCTAACTTTAAGCAACTAATGCAGGAAAATCTATGAGGGGAAATGACAAATAGAGTTTCTGTAAGCACTACCTCTTGGGCTTTTTATGTTTAGATCTCTGTTTAATTATCTGTTTTATTTTGTCTGAGTGTTTCTCCTTTCCCTATTTAAAACTTGAGACAGACCCTAAAAAAAAAAAAAGGATTGAAAAAACAGTTAATAGCCAATAACATGCAAATAAAAAGGTGATATAGGAGTCTAGCACATTTTTGTAGCTAGCCATTTTTTCAATAGAACGGAGGTAGCAGAGTCCAATATAGAATGCATGTATACTATATGGATACTGTACACATACATTCCTACATAGTTTGGCATTTAAGTTTGGATAATTTTCACTGAATGACCTAATCATCTTGTCTAAGCTCCACCTCCCATGTATGCCTCATTGCTTCTTGGTATACATTTCCTTCATCACTGAAGCTCGCAGTGCACACTGAAACCTCCATTGCCAAGAGAAATAATGTTCCTTGTGGTGCTTTTAGTGATAAAGTTGGGGTTTCAAGGCTCAAGTGCTAGTGCTAAATTTATTTGCAATTACTTTTGGCATTATAAAATGTAGGGCAGTGTATTCTCTTCAGAGAGAATGTTACTTCTTAGGTAACAAAAAAACCACTTTTCTATTCATTTTTATCAAACCTTCTATATAGGAAGGAGGCAGCCTGCAGAGAAACTGTTGGAAACTTATTTCAAAGGCAGGTTATAGATGATTAAGGAGAGACGCAGTAAAATCTGGGATGAATGATCTGTCCCCAAGCCAAAAGATTTTGAAGGAAAAGGCTTAAACAGTTGGAAGAAGACAACAGATGATTTTGTCAGCTTGAATCAAGCAGCAGAGTAAAACCCAGTTTCCTGGGAATGTGTGAAAGGAGGTATTTAAAAAAAAAAAAAAGGAAAGTAAATAAGGAAAATAAGGATGCTGTATCCAGATGGTCAAAGTCACACAGTGAAAAACTGTCTTCAGCAGGTGGAGATTGCCAGCCTTTTTGGAAGTGGTAATGTCAACCCTCATCAGCCAAGGAACTGCAGAACTGGGTAGGAGGCATCAGAAAAACATGGAAGCACCACATTTTCCCCAGTCACTCAGTAGATGTCATTTCCCACTGTCTCAGTGCTGAAAGGTGCTATTTTCAGAGTGCAACAGTAAAAGTGAGCTGCTGACCCCCACATCCATTCAGGAGAGATTACTGCCAGTTTTGCATAATTGAAACTAGTGTTTTCCACTCAGGCTTTTTCCTTTTTTTTTTTTTTTCCCCTAACTCTTACATTTCCAGAAGGACAGAATGTCTTAGAAATTTCAAAAACAATAATACAGATGTAAATGTTGGTACTGAAATCTCAGAGTTGAAGAGGAAAATTGAGCTAGTTCAGAAGTCCTGCCTGCAACTCCTTCAGGCTCTGGATGCCCTCTGGAGAAAACCACTGTGACTGCTGTGGGATTAAGTCTTAGGAGCCTCTAGCAGTCAAAGAGGAGGGATTGCTGGCCTCAAAAGTTCCAAGTGGAAACTTTTCCCTTCTGCACTCTCTCCTGAATCTCCCATCCGGTCCTCTCTTCTACCAATGTTGAAACTTTTCCCTTCTGCACTCTCTCCTGAATCTCCCATCCGGTCCTCTCTTCAACCAATACTTTTTTTTCATATAAACCCTAAACATCTACCTAGCATTCCACACGGGTATTTCTGAACCACTGACAAGATATTATGCTTGCAGTCATCCGCCTAGACATTGATGTGCCTAGACTATTGATGTGTCATCTGCCTGGACTATTGATGTGACGACCAAAGTATGTGGGGTTTGGTTTGGTGGGCTCTTGCTGCTGTTTTCACAGGCAAAGTTCACTTCCTGTCTTCCATTCATGCCACAATAATTTGGGATGCAGATGCCCAGCCCAGCTGAAGGAGACCAGTGGGTTAAGGAGTTATTTTGACAGACACAAACTCTATTAAAATCCATGGACCAGCTGATTCACATGAGAGCACTGACTAAATAATAATAAAACTTCAAAAATAAATCACCTTTCATTTTGGGATAAATGAACCCATTTCCATCTCCCAACTCTAGAATATTTTTCTAGATGGCCTTGAAAAAATGGTTCAGCTCATCACAAATATACAAAAAATAATAACTTATGAACATATTTTTGGTAATTTTTTTTCTATTCAGAAATACCAAGTAAAAATCAGTTTGATTGCACAATCAGGCTGATTCAGTGCTCTAAGTGGAACATATACATATTTTTGTCTTTAGGTATATTTTCTTTATTTGCTAACATGACTAAAATGATCAGCAGTTGAACAGTTAACAATGTTCACATTCTGTCTGTCATCTTCAGATTTCAGAGTCAGTACTGTAAAGGGATGAACAGGTCTGATAGATTGAAAATTACTCCTTTGATTGTCTTTGGTCTCTTGAACATAAGACTGCATCAGTCCTGTTTGATTCATGTGTTCAATGATTTCTTCACAGCCATGACCCTGAGAAACATAATTTTATTTTAAATGGGATGTGAGAATTCAGAGCACTGACTTGACACCAAATTTAGTAATGATATAAAATACTGTGAATATGCAGCACAAGAAATTTAAGAATTCAACTGAACGTGCCCTTCCTCCTTCCACTTTGTTTTCTCCCCGTCATATTTATGTTCAGGTTGGCATTTGTTTATGCAGTAAGTTAGCTCCAGCTATTATTTCTCAGCTCCTCCTGCCTATTTATTTCCATCTCTGTCAAATGTTTATTGCTGTTTCTTAAAGTCTTTTATCCTGAGGCATATGGATTTTATTTACATCGTAACAGAAGTAAGTAGTAGGATGTGTTTGCACAAGCCTTACAGGCATGATCCTGCTTGGGTTTCTCAGGTGTTAATTACAGCTGCTGGTGTTTTGTAAGCAAAGGTCTGTGTTTCTGGTCAAACAGAAAGTTTTACAATACATATCAAGAGAAAAGGTGTCATTTTGAGACTATTAACTCAGAAAAGCAGTTTATTTTCCTGCAGGAATAAATGTATTTCTCATCTTTCTT